GGATAAACTCCTCCTGTTGGAGCCCATAAAAATAGTTCTGCTTCATCTTGACTTAAGGTCAGAGAGTTCAAAACTATCCTTACTCTTCCAAGGTTAAAGTCTTAAGAACTAAGAACTTTTTTTGTTGTTGTTGTTTTATTTTTCGAGGCAGGGTTTCTCTGTGCTTTGGAACCTGTCCTGGAACTAGCTCTTGTAGACCAGCCTGGCCTCAAACTCACAGAGATCCACCTGCCTCTGCCTCCCAAGTGCTGGGACTAAAGGCATGCGCCACCAACTTCCGGAGAGAACTAAAGTTCTAAGGCATGGCTACTGTTTGGTCTAAGGCGTGGATATCTTACCTATATAACAAGAGATTTGGTCTAAGGTGTGGTTACTAAATGTTTGGAGAAATAGGGAAGAAAGTCTGTTCCTTGTATCAAGATAAAGAAGTCTTTTGACTTTTTCCCCTTTTTGGTCGGGGTTTATAAGAATTTTGAGAAATAAACTTGGGCCATTCAGTATTCACTGGAATGCCCTCCCGACTCTATTCTGTGTCTCTGTCTTTTTCTTAGTAACTTTAATTTGTCTACGTGCCATTTATCAATCCACACTCCCCCTCTCAAGTGTGAACCAGGCAAGTCAGATGTATGTGACCCAAAGACAGTTTCCTACACCCTCCCTGAAAGATCCTAATTTGAAAATTTCCTCCTAGCATGTGTCACAGTCCATTTGCTGATGCCCCAGCTGAATATCACAGATCAGTTTATAAAGAACATTTCTTTTTGACTCACGACACTGGAGGCTGGGGAAGTCCATGATCAGGTGTCTGTGGAGAAGTCCTCTTATTGGTAGGGCTTTATGCAGAGGTGCAGGGACATTGCATTATGGGACAGAGCATCTGTCTCACATCTTTCCTCTTATAAAGCCACAGTACTGTCAGATTAAGCATCCCAGATGGCCTCATTTAACTTTAATTACTTTCCACAGAACCTTCAAATAATACAACTGGACTATGTTTACATCCTCTATTTACCTCATGAGTCTATTTCAACATGAATTTTGGTGCACTCTATAGATAACACTTGTAAGGTGACATGTATAGTTTTGGGGACTTGAACATCTTCTAAGGGCCATCAGTCTTCCTAACACATAACTGTACTGTGATCAGATGAATAGGCACAGATAAAGCTAAAGCTCAGAACCTAATGTCTTTGTTTTTCATCTCAGTCTCAGGGCAGGTAGATTTCTTCTTTGACCATGGTTTAGGCTGACCGTGTCCCAGTACAGCATCTAGAGTAGGTTTGAGTTCTTGCCAGACTGAGCACTATCCTCAAAGCGAAGGCTGTGAATTACAGAGCAGGGTTGATACAGGGCACTGATTGGAAGCTAACTCCTTCATACTTTCATTTTCACCCTCTTGGCATTAGTGGTATTTAGTTTTTTGGTTTTTATTGTCTTTCTTATTCCTCCTCTTCCTCTTCTTAACTGTTTGAGAGAGGGTCATACTTTTTAGCACATGATCTCAAACTCACAATCCACCTTCCCTAGCCCCTAAAGTAGCTGGTGTGGTGGTTTTGAAAGGGGTAAACTAAACTAAAAGGCTTCACTTCTAGAAATGAAGGGACCAGACCCTCACTCAGCCCCCTGCTTTAGCAGCCATGACAGGCTACAGAAAAGACACATAGGCCTCTGACACAAGGAAACTCCAGATCCCCTGGCCTCCTGGGGCCCAGGGCCAAAACTGAACACAAAGAAACTCCAGATCCCACCCCCCCACCACCAGATACTTGGTTCCTGAGAACTGTTTGACCACCAGGAAAAACCAAAACCTCCCTTGTAGTCTCCGGGATACAGTTCTAAAAAATATTGGTATCTATGTACAACAGGCCACCTGCAAGTGATAAGACAAAGCCATAGAAACCACAAAATGTTCCCTCTCAGCACTGACCAATGAGAATAATTGGTACACAGGTATTTCATGCCAAAATATGACTTTGAGAAATTCTCCTAATTGTTTCCAAATGTCAACCAATCAGAAACCAACCTGTATCTACTGATGTAATCCTGTAACTTTTGTCTTTAAAACCTAGCAGTAGACAGGGAACTTCACTCGCTCTGGAGGCTGCTGCGTCAGCTAGCCAGACAGGGTTCCTGTCATGGTTGGATGAATAAAATCTTGCTTTTGCAGTTTGGTGGTTCTGTCTGTCTTTCTTGTGGTCTCTGGGGTTCTTTGCAACTTGGGCACAACAGTTTGAATGAAAATGGCTCCATAGGCTCATGTTTGAATGCTTGGTTCCCAGCTGGGGGACTGTTTGGGAAGGATTAGGAGGTGCGGCCTTGTTGGAGGAGGTGTATCATTTTGAGGTTTCAAAAACCAACACCAATGTAGCAGAGTGGTGGTGGCTCATAGCTTTAATCCCAGCACTGGGGAAGCAGAGACAGGCAGATCTCTGTGAGTTCGAGGTCAGCCTGGTCTACAGAGTGAGTTCCAGGACAGCCAGGACTATTTCACAGAGAAACCCTATCTCAAAAAACAAAGCAAAACAAAACAACAACAACAACAAAAGCCCAGTCTCTCTCCTTCTGCCTCCATCTTGCAGGTAAGATACAAGCTCTCAGCTACTGCTCCTGCACCCATGCCTGCCTGCCTGCCACAGTGCTTCCTGCCATAATGGTCATGGACTAACTGTCTGAAACTGTAAACAAGCCCCCAAGTTAAAATCTTTCTTTTTTAAGGTTCCTTGGTCATAGTGTCTCTTCGTAGCGATAGAACAGTGCCTAAAACAGCTGGGAGTGCAGGTGGGCATCACCACACCCAGCCCTGATGTTTACCTTTTCAGGCACTAGTCTAAAATGCTTTTGAGTTGTTTTGCTTTTCGGGATATATCTGAAATCACTGAGATTCTCTAGCTCCCATGTTTCGAGAATCAGGACTGCTGTATGTCAAGGGGGTTGGATGTGTTTCCAAGTCTCAAAGGAGTTTTGAGACAAGCAACTTGGCTGAAGATGCACTGGAACTCCTTGGCTGAAAGCACATTGGAACTTCCGGTGTATCCTGATAACTGGAGGAGACTGTGACAGGATAAAGAAAGCAGAGCAAAACAGCCACCACGGAATGAGTGCTTTATGGCATGCCAAGAGCTGTGCTGCCCTTGAACATATCACCTCATTTAAAGCTTTCCATGGCCCATGGAGGCAGAGATTGCCACGCTTGTTCCATAGGTTCCCTTTTCAGGTGGTAGCAGCAGACTCAGTGTTTGTGAGCTACTACAGTTGTAAAGATGTGGGAAGGTCGGAGGGTCTTCCAGAAACCAGTGTGTCTTGGTTTGTTTGTATTGCTGTAACAGAATGTCAGAGACTGTGTAATTTATAATGAGCAAAAATGTATTGACTCCTGATTCTGGAGGCTAATGATAGACCTTCTGTATCACAGAATGGCAGAAAGTCCCCTGTGGACAGAAGATGCGGTGGGAGAAGCCGGACTCATCCTTTTTTAAAGCAGGAATCCATTCCCTTGACAATGGGGTTAATTCATTTATGAGAGCAGAGCTCTAATGAACTAATCATTCCTGAAGGTGCTGCCTCTCCACACTGATTATGGTTAGGTCTCAAATTCAGGACAAGTCTCACTCAGTACCTGTGCCTCCTCCCAGTGCCCCTCACCCTGTCCCCTCCCAGGGCTGGGCCTCCTCTTCCCTGCCCCCAGCCTGATCCCTATATAACTTGCCTGTTTTAGCTAGCACCTCTCTTGACCTCTTGGCCAGGGCCACCTCTCAGTCAGGGACTCCTCTCTTGCTCTCCCATCCCTTCTCTCCTTTCATGGTTCAGTTTAGTCTGCCAGCCATGTTCAGCCTGGACTCTTCTCTTTGCCTGCTTCCTCCCTTATATCTACAATAAAAATCTTCTCCATACTCCTTCCTTCCTTCCTTCCCTCTCCCCTCTCTCTCTCTCTCTCTCTCTCTCTCTCTCTCTCTCTCTCTCTCTCTCTCTCTCTCTCTCTCTCTCTCTCTCTCTCTCTCTCTCTCTCTCTCTCTCTCTCTCTCTCTCTCACTCCTTTTTTATTCAGTTATGTTTTCCGACACTTAAACTTTGAGGGTCAGACTCAAAGTTTAGAATCTAAACAGTCTAGAATCTAAACATACCCAGAGACTAAAAATACTACATAGAAGCTAGGCCACAGCGCAGAATCCATGAGGGCCTTTCCCTCAACCTCGCTCAGTGAGATCCAATGCTGGCTAAGGAGTGCTGTTAAGTTCGCAGGGATTTTAGGATTATCCCTATGGTGTCCTTCCTCCTGGGTGAGAGGGAGGGCAGGGCACGCTGATGTTTTCCTGGCAGCAGACATTGGCTTGAGGGGAGTTGGTAGAAAGGTGGGGATGGGTGCTGTTAGTTTCAAAGCCTGGCCCTCTGCATCCAGCTCTCTGCACCATCAGCGATGCTCTAAGCACAGGGCACCTCTGACCTCCATGCCATGGAGTGCGCTGCTGGGAGAGACCCAGGGACATCTGGTATGTGTATGCCAAAGGCCCATTTTAGTTTCTGCTATTTATTTCTTGCCATGGGGAAAGACGGGGTGGGATGGGCCAAGGGGCCCATCTCACTTGAGAAAGTCTGGGTCTGACAGCTGAAGGGTCCCAGAGCAGCCAATATTACCTTGCCTTTTCTCTCTGTCTCCCCCAGTTGTCTGCTTTTGATTGACAGAGACATCTGGAGGCTAAAAATATCCTACTGACCAAGTGCTCTTGATTTCAACTCAAGATGAGCACGACTGCAGTCCAGAACATACCACATGCAGGGATTATCTTCAAACAGGGTTTCATGCCAGGACCACACTAGCCTGTGCTCATTTTCTGTCTTGGCATCTTTTCCAAGTGGTGAATGAGACCCTTGTCAGGTCACTGCTTGTTTGCCTTTTCCCTCCTGAAATAGTGATGAAGGGGGAGGTGAGGGCCTAGTTCTGGAAAGGAGCAGGGAAGGGGAGGTGGCCTGTCCATTTATAGTCCTGCCCTCTGGGACATGAAGGTGCTAAATAGCAGCAAGGACAAGAGGCTTGGCTCAGTGTGAGCTACCCACACCACAGGTCTGACAGACTCTGAGATGACAATAGGCAGCATGGAGAATGTGGAGGTCTTCACTTCAGAGGGCAAAGGCAGAGGTCTGAAGGCCACGAAAGAATTCTGGGCTGCAGATGTCGTCTTTGCTGAGCGGGCTTATTCTGCAGTGGTTTTCGACAGGTATGGCATGCAGGAAGTGGCCTTCTCCACTACTGGTTTGACTGGTATCACACTCTCAAATTCTGAATCCCAAAATCATCAGGTGAAGGAATAAAGTTCAAGGGATCCTTAATTTGTAATTAAAATTTTTATTACATTTATTTATTTGTGTGTGTGTGTGTGTGTGTGTGTGTGTGTGTGTGTGTAGAACACGGACACCACAGTGTGGAACATATACTTGTCACAGTGAATATGGGAAGGCCAGAGGATAATTTTTGGTGTTGGTTCTCTCCACCATGTAGCCTCCAGGGATTGAACTCAGATAGTCAGTCTTATTGACAAGTGTCTCTGACAATGAGCCATCTTGCTGGCCCTTCAAATTTCACTTCTGATAGCTCTCTGTTGGTATTTCTTTTCTGCAAGGAGTCGTTGTCTCTAACTCTCTATGGCCCCCATCGGGGTGGCGAAGCTGAGTAGGGGTCTTTAGGCACATTATCACAGAGAATGTGGCTGGGAGGCTGGGGGTGGGTGGGTGGATGTGGAGAAGTGGGAAACATTTTCTTACAAAAATCTCTTTTAGAGTCTTTGGATATACAAAAGAGGCTAAAAGTCTGTATAAACCCATTAGACTATAAAACATTTGTTGAAATTTTAAGAAATCAGTACTAATTATAAGTAATAAAAGAATCCACTTACTTTCAAAAGAGTCTTTCCCAGTTTCTACCTCAGGGGTAACTTGTGCTTTACTTTAAATCAACTTTTTCCAGAACATTCTTATGTTACCTCAAACATTGATTTGCACTGAGCAAACTGGATAGCCACAGTTTGTTTGCTTGCTTGCTTTTATGGAAATGATATGCTTCAGGGTCAGATGAGCCTGCTTTTTCCTTTAAACAATGTTTCTGACTCTATCCTTGTGAGGACAGTAAGTCTACAGATACCTTGTTTGTTTTTGTTACTTTAAAAATTGTGTGTGTGTGTGTGTGTGTGTGTGTGTGTGTGTGTGTGTGTGTGTTCTTGTATGTAGGTGTGCATGTGCCATTGTGGACATGTGAAGGCAATTCTCTCCCTCCCCTATGTAGGTTCCAGGGATTGAACTCGGGTCCTCAGCTGTGGCAGTGGGCACCTTTATCCCCCGAGTCGTCTTGCTGGTCTTGATGCATCTTGTATATCCCCAAATATCCAGTTGTTTTAACTATGTGTTGAGCTTTCCATATTGGTCTGTAAACCACATGGGATATCATGTAGTAATATTACTGTAAATATTCCACCCTGTAAATATATGTACAACATTTTACTTGTCTATTTTCCAATCAAGAGACATTTAATGGGTTCCCATTTATCTAAAAATCTAACATTCCTGCAATTAAAATGTGTTCCAGTGTGCACACATACACAATGTGATTCTTCTCTAGCCATCGGTGTGCACAGCTACATGGTGTGATTCTTCTGTAGGGCCATTGGTGAGCACAGGTGCACAGGGTGATTCTTCTCTAGGGCATGTGATTAGGAGGAGGTTGCTGTTTTCAGCTTTAAAAGTATCTGTTAAAGCATCCCCATTTCCCTACAATCTTGTCTATATGGAACTATCAACATTTTAAAATTTTAAAAATAGTACTTAATCTTTATTTTAAAACAAGCAAACAACCTCCCTACATAGTGATTACATTAGAATGACAGTATTTTCTGATCACAGTTGGAGTGACATGTCTGGTGTTTGTGTGGTTTGAATGAAGCAGCCTCTGATAAGCTGGACAGGTGAGTGGCTACAGCATCAGCTGTCATGGGGTGGGTGCTTCAGAGATAACTTGGTTAGTATTTAAATTCTCTTTCCTCTGACCACACCTTCTAAGACCTTCAGGAAAACGCTGTGAACCAGGGCATGTGGCTCATTGTCATCCAAGGAGTTAATCAGAAGCCCAAGTGACACAAATAGCAATTCAGAGAAGTGTGTGTGTGTGTGTGTGTGTGTGTGTGTGTGTGTGTGTGTGTGTGTGCTGAGTACAGGTATGAAGTCAGCTAAATTTAGAGTTAAAATATAAAAATACAGCAACACACAGATGGCACATGCTATTCTTGGTTTGGTCACCACCATTGTGTACCTCAAAGTCCCTAGAGCCAGTCTAGCCAGATTCTGTTTCAAGACTCTGGAGTTGAGTGGGGTTTTCCAGTATTTTTTTTTTTTTCTTTTCTAAGACAGGATCTCACTATGTAGTCCCAGCTGGCCTGGAACTCACAAGGCTTGCTTCACCAATGTTGCCTCTCCCTACCTAATTCTGGATGAAAGATGTGTTCCACCGCACCTGGCTCTCAGTAGAGAGTTTTTATTAACTTGCCAGGCTCCTCCTCCTGGTTTATTTCATTCATTTTACTATGCAGTGGAGCTTTTACTAGAGGAATTTTTCTTCTCCATTTAATAACTTGAACGTCTTCCACGTTTATCTTTGAGTCTGTGTGCAGGTCATGTGTGGGCGTGGGGATGCTGTGCCCTGGATGGTGTGTGTGGGTCAGGTCAGGTGTTGATCCTCATCTGACACCTTGTCTGGGGCAGGGTTTTTTTTTATTGTTTTTGTTTGTTTAGTTTTTTTGGAGACAGGGTTTCTCCGTATAGCCCTGGCTGTCCTGGAACTCACTCTGTAGATCAGACTGGCCTTGAACTCAGAGATCCTCCTGCCTCTGCCTTCTGAGTACTGGGATTAAAGGCGCACCATGACCACAAGGCAGGGCAGGATGTTTTGTTTCATCTGTATATGGCAGGTTGAGAGGCCTAGAAGCTTTTAGAGATTCCCCAGTCTTCACCTCCTAGGAGAGCTGGGATTATAGATGTGTGCTATGCCATCTAACTTCATGTGGGACATGGGATTTGAACTCAGGTCCTCATGCTCTGTGAGCAAGCACTTTGCCTGCAGTGCCATCTCCTCAGCCCTTCTTGTGTTCCTTTTTATGGTGATACCTAAACTTTAAGCTCCTTTCTTGTTTGTTTAGTTTTATTAGTTTTATTTTTGTGTATATGGATATAAGAGTTGGAGTGTGCATGCATTTGTGTGCATGTGAGGCCAGAGGTTGCTGTTGGGTGTCTTCTTCAATTACTCTCTGTGCTACTTTTTTAATGTACATTGGTGTTTTGCTGCATGTTTGTATGTGTGAGGGTATAAGATCGTGGAGCCACAGATAATTGTGAGCTGCCATGTGGGTGCTGGGGATTGAACCAGGTCCTCTGGAAAAGCAGCCATCTCTTTAGCCCCTCTGTATGGTATTTTTGAGACAGGATTTCTCACTGAGCACATAGCTCACCAACTCAACTAGACTGGTTTCTAGGAAACTCCAGTGATCCTCCTGTCTCTGCGTCTCCAGTGCTGGGATTAAAGTTTCTATGGGCGCTTGTTGTGATCATTATTCTGCATAAGCGCTTTGCTGACTGATCCATCTCTCCAGCCTTTTTTATTTTAATTTAGTTTCTATTGACATTGCTTTTCTTAATTTTTCATGTCCAGCAAGGTAAGTTAATTCTGTGTCAGGCAGAATGAAAAGATAAATGGTTTCATTCTCAACAGTGACTTGGGCTTTGGCAAGGAGAGGAGATACTATCTCTGTCTCGTGCTGTCTGTCACCACTATCACCATCAATACCTTCACCACCATCGCCATCACCATCATCATCTCAGTAGGGCAGAGCTCATCACTGAGCCATTCTCCCAGCTGAGTTTAAAGGGTTTTTTGTTTGTTTGTTTGTTTTGTTTTTTTGAGACAGGGTTTCTCTGTGGCTTTGGAGGCTGTCCTGGAACTAGCTCTTGTAGACTAGGCTGGTCTTGAACTCACAGAGATCTGCCTGCCTCTGCCTCCTGAGTGCTGGGATTAAAGGTGTGTGCCACCAACACCCAGCTCCTGAATAGGTTTTATAATTTGCTTTGTTTATTTAAGAGGTCCTGTGGCTCAGGCTGGTCTCAGACTCATCCTATGCTGAGGCTGGCATTTAGTTCCTGGTCCTCTTGACTCTACTTATCAGGTGCTAGGATTATGGACGTATGCCACCACACTTGGCTTATACTTTGCTTTTAAAATTGTTACTGAATGCCGGGCGGTGGTTCCTTTAATCCCAGCACTCAGGAGGCAGAGGTAGGTGGATCTCTGTAAGTTCAAGACCAGCCTTTTCTACAAGAGTTAGTTCTAGGACAGCCTCCAAACAAAGCCACAGAGAAACCCTGTCTTGAAAAAAAAAAAAAAAAAAAAAAAAAAAAAGAAAGAAAGAAAGAAAAATTGTTACTGATTTTTGCTTTGCTTTTTAATAAAAATATTTAACCCCACTAAAAGATGCAGGCTCCAAAGTATTTTCTGAGGATGCCTAGATCCTTTTAAACCCTTGACACCAAGTTTCATTGCTTTTAGGTAGAGGGTCCTGGAAGTATTGTCTAGAGATGAAAAAGGCTATTCTCCAGGCCCTTCCCTATCTGCTGAGGATGCTGTACACAGAGTCAGGCCACAGAAGGGAACTGAATCACATGACCCAAAAGAGCTTACAGTTTGAAATTCTGTAGATTGCAGTGGGTTAAAGTGCAGCAAGAGAGGAGTTCTAAGTGAATAAAATGGAGCTTATTCTGATTATTATTTTAATATACTAGAAAGGCACAGTGACGCTGACAATGGGCAGTGCTAGGAACCCCAAAATCTCAATTCTACCTCCCTTTATTGAGATAAGGTTTCACTATGTAAAACCCCATGTTGTCCTCATGCCTCTGCTTCCTAAGGCTCCATACCTAACTCAATTGTGTGTGTGTGTGTGTGTGTGTGTGTGTGTGTGTGATGTGCTTATGAGTGCAGTTGCCAGTTCAGATGAGGGCTTCAGATTTCCCAGGAGTGGAGCTATAGAGGGCTGTAGGCCACCTGACATGGGTGTTGGGAACCGAACTCTGGCCTTTTGGAAGAACCATAAGCGCCCTTAACTGCTAAGTGGTCTCCTCAGTCCTCTCAATTCTCTCCCCCTCAACAACAACAGTAAATAATGATAGTGTTCCAGATGTCTTG